AGTATGAAGCAAACTATGCATCTCCCATGGTGCGGGTGCAACCAGGAATTGCTATTTTTTTCATCTCCTTTTAGGAACTGAATCTGGCAATATCTATTACAATTTGGTAAATACCCATTCCTTTAACCTAGAAATCTTAATTTGGAGGATTTATTCTAAAAAAAAACACAAAAAAAGGTACCAGAGGGTAAGAGCAGGGGTGTTTATCGGACGACTGCTCGGAACCGCAGACACGAACCGACGAAACACTGGACGCCGAGGGGCCCCTGCAGGGGAAGTGGCCGAGGAAGCACCACAGGCCCTCACTGGGAATTTCTGCCGCATCCCCAAGAACTAGACGGAAACCTATTACCCAGAGCAATGTTCCCAATGCATTCGAAGTGGGAAAAGAAGAAAAAATACATACAGTGTGCGATGACTTTTACTTACAAACAACCAGGGGCAGAAGTGGCTGACATACAGACTGGGACGCTGAGGGGTCACCCCGGGGTGACGGGGGGGGGAGGGGAGGGGCCCGGGTGCTGTGATGAGAATGCTTCGCTGTCTGTGCCCTTCAGCACCGTACCCCTCCCCCCACCCCACCGGGCTACTGAGCCCTGAGATTGAGGAATCAAACTGTAAGTTTTATTTAATTTTTGTCAGTTTAAATGGCCGCAGGTGGCCGGTGGCTATGTGTTGGGCTGGCCGAGAGAGTCTGTCTAGGAGACCTTGTAGGTCCCCACGTGAGACCCACCAGGGGAGGGAAGGGTTAGTAAATCTTCCGCTGGGTAGGGGGTTCCCCACTCAGTGCAGACAGATCCGAGTCACGTGCAGACGAGAGATGATTCCCGAACAGGGGCCATGACTACCCAGGATAAACAGTAGGTCTGTACAGAGGGATGCAACCTTCAAAAAGCCCACACCCAGAAATGAAGAGGAACTTAGCGGTGGGGACACCTGACGGACCCTCCCTGGGCCAGGTGAGCAAGGTCTGCATCAGCAGCGGTAAGGCATGTTGGTGGTTGACGTGGACTGGGCGTGACGTCACATCCGGACAGTGGCATTTCACTCCCGTGGTCTTCTCCTCCCCGACCCCTGTAACCCCGGTGGGCTCCTGAGAAGAAATATAAAACCCACGACCAGTGCCGTTCAAGACCGTCAAGGTCACTGACAACAGGGGAAATCTGAGGCACCGTCACAGCCAGGAGGAGCCCCAGGAGACGTGATGACAAAATAAAACGCAGAAAAAGGACATTTGCTAAAAACTAAAGAAATCTGAATAAAGCGTGGACTTTGGTGAATCGTAATGTATTAACATTGGTTCAACAATGGTGAGCAATGTGCTGTATTTACTAACTTGTTAATAAGAAGGGAACTGGGAAGGAAGGCCAGTCTCGGTGCTACTGACGTTTGGAGCCGGATAATTCTTTGTTGTAAGGGGCTGTCCTGTGTGTGATAGAACGTGGAACAGATGGAGGAGAGGGGGGGGACTCAGTGGGGACCGGGTGAAGGCAGACCTGCCCTGGGGCCCCTCATGGCCGCCCCCCTGGGTGGGGGGACTCTGCAGGGAGCCAGGCTGCAGAATCCCAAAAAGTCTCCAGCCCAGACTTGCTGGAGAGAAAACATGAGTGAGAAACTGGATCTGAAGGGAGGACTCAGGAAAAGGGGACCAAACTGGGTAGAGAAATCATGGATAATAATAATAATAATAATAATAAGGCTACCCTGGCTGGTGTGGCTCAGAGGATTGAGCACCGGCCTGTGAACCAAAGGGTCACTGTTTCAATTCCCAGTCAGGGCACATGCCTGGGTTGCAGGCCAGGTCCCCAGTAGGGGGCGTGAGAGAGGCAACCACCCATTGATGATTCTCTCCCTCTCTTTCTCCCTCTCTTCCCCTCTGTCTATAAATAAATAAATAAAATCTTAAAATAATAACAATAATGCTAAAGATAATTATGAATAGCAGCGCCTCTTCCTTGAGCCCTGAGTTGGCACCGGTCTACCACTATCTCTAAGTCTTGCAATCCCCAGTAGCGACCCAGGTCCCCATTTCTTCAGGCAGAAAATTGAAGCTAAGGGAAGTTAGGTGATGACCCTGAGGTCATGCAGCTGGATGTCAGTTTCAGCCTAGGTGTGATGGACGCAGGAGCTGGAGACCTTAACTAATCAGGAGTCCAGGAATGGCTTCACCAGCCAGAAGGGCAAACAGACGCCAGAGCTGTCTGTTCCTCCCCAGGCTGTGAAAACAACCGTCAGAATCCCCACCTCCCGCAGCCAAGGACACTCTGATCTGGCCATCCCCAGGGGACACCTCCCAGGAGGGGGTGATGTAACAGGGCTATCTCCACTTGCTGTCCAGAAACAGACACGTCTCGGGTGCTACAGTCCCAGGCCTGAACTGACCCCCCCCGAGGCTTGCCCAGTGACGGTGGCCAGCCTTCCCCTAAGACCCTCCAGCAGGTGACTGGTCAGAACGTCCCTGTCTCATGGAGACTCCACCTGGCTTTGCTCCACCACCTCCCCAGGGTGGCCTTGGGCGAGGCCCCTGCCCTGTTAGGGTCTCGGCTTCCTAGCCATGTGATGGAATGCAGAACCGCTCGTGCACATATTTTTTTTATACTTAAAAATGAAGATGTGCCCAGACGGCAAATATTTATTAGTGGATGAGTAAACAAAATATAGTCTGTCCAGACAACGGAATACTCTGCACCCATAAAGGCGGATGCAGCACCAGCATGTTACAATGAGGATGAACCTTGAAAATAGGATGCCAAGTGAGAGAAGCCAGACACCAAATGTCAAACATTGTCTGATTCCAGACAATGTAGAAAGTGTCCAGAAGATGTAGATTCATAGACACAGAAAGGATGTAGGTAGCTGCCTGGGGCTGTGAGGGGGAGGGGTGACCCTTAATGGGTATGGGGTTTCTTTTCAGGGCAATGAAAATATTCTCAAACGGATCCTCTGTAAATGGGTGAGTTGCATGCTAGACAAACTATATCTCAATAAAGCCTTTATTTTGCAAAGGAAATGCCCAGCCCTGACCGGTGTGGCTCAGTGGGTTGGACATTGTCCTGCAAACCAAAAGGCTGCAAGACTGATTCCCAGTCGGGGCGCATGCCCGGGTTGTGGGCCGGGCCCCCGTTGGGGGCGTGCGGGAGGCAACTGATCCATGTTTCTCTCTCACGTGGATGTTTCTCTCCCTCTCTCTCCTTCTCCCTTCCCCTCTCTCTAAAAAAATAAATAAATATTTTGATTTTTTTTTTAAAAAAGGATATGCCCAAATAGGAGGTCAACAACAGCGATATATATTTTGTCTTTTTCCCTCTTTTGGGACCTTTTATGATTGACTTTCTTAATTTGTTTTTTTTCAAATCACAACAGTGACACACCCTTGTTGGGACAAATGGACAAGCTAGAGAGGGCCATGGAAACAAATTCTTTTGTTCACAGCCTTCGCGGCTCTGCCCCTCCAACCACGGGATCACGGCAGTGGAGTGGAGAGAATTCAACAGTGTCCTTCAGTCCCACCTCACCGACTGAGGGCTCGGGTAACCTCCTGTCACACCCCCGCATCTGAGACCCCTACGGTGACCCCTCATGGCCCTCCCGACCCCACCTCAGCCCTGTCCGTCAGAATCCCCGAGTTTGCAGTCCTCCCCTGCCACCTGGGTGACAATTTTACTCTGCCTCTGAGGCTGCTCCTTCACCTGTGACGTGGGACTCACAGCGCCCACTCACCTAATTGAGGACTAGGTAACACCCCCATGGAAAACACCTGGTATGAGAGCAGGCCGCAGCAGACGTGGGCGGCACGAGCGCCAGCTGTATGCACTCAGGGCCACACGGGGAGGCTGTGCCCACACGTGAGCTGTGCGAGGCTCGCACCGAGTCGGCTCTACACCCGGTGTGCCTAGCGCGTGACGTCCCACTGCAGGGAGGGCTTGGGCGAGCCTGTGCAAGGTCAGTGGGGCGGTAAGAGAGGGAGCTTGTCCCACTGAGAGGGATGGCTGTGCAGGCTGCCAGAGTCCTCGCTGCCCTCTGTCTCATCGATATTCTTGTCCCAGCGGACCAGACAAGGGAGCTTTGGTGAGGAGGCCAGGACTGTGTGTGTGCAAGTGTGTGTGTGCCAGCCTGTGCACACACAGGCCCCTGCAAGCAGCCAGGGACAGGCAGGAGGCTCGGCGTGGGGCAGGGAGTGAGTTCGGGTGCGAGACCCTGCAGTTCTGTGATGACAAAAATGACGATGACGACAAAGATACAGTGGCTGCCAACACCTACTGAGCACTGCGCTCTGGGCCCCTTATGTACATACTTGTACATTTTCCTGTCATCTATCCCTAGGACAGCGGCACCATTATTGTCCCCATTTTACAGATGAGCAAAGGGAGGCTCCAGGAGGCAGAGGGACTGCCCAGGGCCCCACAGCTAGTGAAAAGCAGTCAGGAGGTGAGCCTGGTCCCCCTGGTCTTGCCCATGATGCCTTGCGCCCCTTGACGACGAAAGAGTCCGGAAAGGACGGCAGCGGAAGGGGATCGAGAGCAGGTTCCGGCTGCGGCTTTGGGAGTCGGGCTGCAGGGTTCCGGTGCCAGCTCCACCCTCTGACTGTCTGCGCCTCAGCCTCCCTTTCTGGAAGATGGGGATAGATAACGATAGTGCCCATTTCTTCCGGGGTTTGTTTCTTGGGTGCCTACTATGTGCCAAGCACCTGCTAGTGGGTTTAAGGGCATCATCCAACACCATCCTCCTGCAGCCTCCTAGCAGTCCCCGGGCAGTGGGTGTTTTCCTCTTTGCAAATGAGGACGCTGAGGATGGGGAGGGAAGGTGGCAGGAGGGGAGCAGAGAGGGGTGAGGGAGAGACTGCAGGAAGCTGCTGGCCCCCACTTCCTGTCCTGGCAGCCCCAGGCCAGGGGGCGTGTCCTGGTGGGGGTGTGGCTGGCCCTGAGGCCCTATTGGCTGCCCAGCAGTGCCCAGGGAATAAAGCCTGGGACCCGGTAGCCCTGGGACAATTCAGAAGACTGTCTACTTGTCCATCCATCTAGACCATCTCCAACCTGTCCCTCGCTCTCTTGGTCCAGCCAGACACCCAGCTCCCTGGTCTGCTCCCTCCCTTCCCTCAGCAATGACTTCCAGAGAGCCCCTGCACATGAAGACCCCCATCCGTGACAGCGTGGCCCTGTCCAAAGTGGCCGGCACCAGCGTCTATCTCAAGATGGACAGTGCCCAGCCCTCGGGCTCCTTCAAGATCCGGGGCATCGGACACCTCTGCCAGAAGGTACAGGAGAGCCCCCGGCGAGGGTGGCGGGTCCTCTTCCTCGATGGGACAGGGCCAGTGCCCTATGAAACCCGGGCATTCCAGGCTAGGCCCTGCTGACTCCCCACAGTGGCTGAGCACCCACCATTAACGCTTCCACTGGATAAGGGGTGCCCGCCATGAGGGTCCCCTGCGGGCTGACCCCAGAGCTATCTGCTGCCAGCTTCTCTGTTGCCCTTCCCTGGACCAGGCTCTTTGGGGAGGAAAGACGGCATTTGACAGGTGAGGGCAGTACAAGGTCCAGGTGAAGGAAGGAGAGTTCAGCTGGAATCACCGGGAGGTATCACAGATGGGAGGGAAGTGCCCAGGAACGGCCTGACTCCTCCCCCCTCGTCTCCACAGTGGGCTGAGCAAGGCTGTGAACATTTCGTCTGTTTCTCAGGTAAGTGGACTGCCTGTCTCTGCCTGTCCTCAGCTGTGTGTCCCGGGGCCAGGAGCCCCACCTCTCTGGGCCCCAGTTTCCCTAGCCATGAGCTGTGGCAAACATTTGCAGAAGGCCCAATTTGGAATTCCAGGTGGAAGCCTGAGGTCACCCTGGGGGGGTCAGAGGCCAGAGGTCAGGCTCCCAGGCCCTCCTGCACTAATAGACTCTCTACCCCCTTCTCCTGGCAGCGGGCAATGCGGGCATGGCAGCCGCCTATGCCGCCAGGAAGCTGGGCATCCCTGCAACCATTGTGGTGCCCAACACCACTCCTGCCCTCACCATTGAGCGGCTCAAGGGTGAGGGGGCCACGGTCAAGGTGGCAGGTGAGGTGAGTGCCAGCCCGGGGGCAGGGAGGGCGTCTGGCGGCCGAGGAGCGTCTCCAGGCCCCTCACCCTCTCCTACCTCCCCTGTGGCCTTGCAGATGTTGGACGAGGCCTTCGAGCTGGCCAAGGCCCTGGTGAACAACAACCCAGGCTGGGTCTTCATCCCTCCCTTTGACAACCCCCTCATCTGGTACGTGGAGCCCAGGGTCGCCTGGTGTGGGCGGCATCCACCTCCTCCACTGCTGGGTGGGCACCTGTCCCCAGGCACCCCGTCACGTTATACACACAGCAGTGGCACACGTGTGCATGCACACGCCGTCACATAGAAGTACATGCACCCCTGCTCCAACGCCCGTTCTCCACGGCGGTGAGCGAACATGTGTGCTCAGGGACGCAGGTGTCTGCCATTGCACGCTCCCAGAAGCAGATCCCAGGAGCGGATCCCAAGATGAGGGTTTCAGGAAAAGCGGCTTGCTTGGGACGTGATTCCTTAGAGGGGTGGGGAGGGGAGATGAGGAAGGAAAGAAGCCACTAACCGGGCCTTCGTGGGCAGTCTGACTGCTGTGGGCAGCTGAAGCTTCATTTTGTTGGGGCCCCTGGGAGCCAGTATGGAGCACAGACCAGGGCTACCCACCAGCAGGGGTGTATAGGCACCAACACCCCTAATGTTTAACTCCCACGGACACTGGGTGAGGGCTGTTCTCAGGGGCCAGAGAAAGCCTTCAGTTAGGGATGAGACGCTGGCCACTGGAAATCAGACTAGAGTTGAAGAGGAGGGGACAAGTGGAAGGGTCCCTGCCTGGTGTCTCCAGGGAGCCCAGCCCTGACCTCCCCGCTCCACCACCCTGCAGGGAAGGCCACACGTCCATCGTGAAGGAGCTAAAGGAGACGCTGGCTGCAAAGCCGGGGGCCATCGCACTGTCCGTGGGTGGCGGTGGCCTGCTGTGCGGAGTGGTCCAGGGGCTGCAGGAGGTGGGCTGGGGGGACGTGCCCGTCATCGCCCTGGAGACCATGGGGGCCCACAGCTTCCACACTGCAGCTTCTGCCGGCAAGCTCATCTCTCTGCCCCAGGTCACCAGGTGAGCGGCCGGGGGGGGGCCTCCATGTGGGGTTCGGCAAGCCATGGGGACTCCCCATCGGTGCTGGCTGCCAGGCAGATCCTGATATCCCATTTTACAGGTGAGGGAACTGAGGCTTGGTTCACTTGCCCAGAACCACAGAGCCAGTGAGTGGTCCTACAGGGGGCGGGGCCCAAGTCTGTGTGACTCCCCACCATGAACGGCACTTCCTCATACAAAAAGTCTAATGCTGGTCATTTATTGAGCTTCTCTGAAGCAGGGTTTTGCACTCTTTATTAATTTGCCAACCATTTACTGAGCCCTGATATGGGGTAGCCACTGGCTGATCCTGGGGACAGAGGTGGATGAACACAGCTCCTGCTGCCAAGTTTATATCCTAGCCCCAAATCTTTGACCCGCAGGGTTTAATTAGAATTAGTTTTAGCTGTTTTATATAGGAATCCAAAAAAAGCAGCAACTTAAAATTGAATTTTATTTCCTGTTATTAAAAAAAAATCTAGAGGTACACAATCCAGGGGCAGCTCCATGAAGCCAGGGGCCCAGGCTCCCTGAGTTTGTTCTCCATCATTCTTATTATGCAGTCTCAGGGCCCAAAACAGCTGCATAAATGCCAGCTATCACACCCACATTCCATCTGGCAGGGAGGAGGAAGCAGGGCCAAAGCTATGCCCCCTTCCTTTAAAGAAAGACACAATACTTCCACTTACCACTCATTGGCCAGAACTTAGTCACATGGCCACACCTGCTGCAAGCCCCTGGGACTTCATGGCTGCACAGGGAACACTCATCCCCATGCCCACGACCCCAGTTCCTCCTCCCCTCCCGCTCACACCCAAATTTCTCTTTCTCTCCCTCCCCACCCTGGTCTCCATCCCCACCCCCTCTCCTACCTGCTTCCCCCATTCCCATTTCCCACACGCCACCCCAGTGTTGCCAAGGCCCTGTGTGTGAAGACGGTGGCGGCTCAGGCCCTGAAGCTGTTTCAGGAACACCCCATCTTCTCGGAAGTCATCTCGGACCAGGAGGCTGTGGCCGCCATTGAGAAGTTTGTGGGTATGTACAAGTCCTTGCAAGGTCCTACCTGCTGGTTCAAGAACTGAGGGGCTGTCCTGGCCACTTGGTACGCCCAAGGCTCCCACGGCTGCAAGTTTAAGTGCTGCCTCCCATCCATTCCTGGGAGATACCTTCCCATTGAAGATACAAGGCAGCAGTAAAAATAGACAGGGCAGAGGCACCAATGAAGATGTAAGCCTGATAACCATGGCAACAGATAACAATAACTATTTAAAAATATTGGTTCTGAGCTTCCTGGCAGCCAGGGTGAATAAGGAAAGTCTAGGCCTCAGTGATGGATTCAGAAGTGGGTCTGTAACTAGGCTGGACATTTTCTGGGTTCAGCCTAGGACAAAGATGGCACACAACATCCGCACACTGTAGCGTGTAGGCCACCACGTAATTCTCCTGCGTCAGCGTCAGTTTGGCCAATCAACCTCGCCACTCTTGCTCAGGTGTTCCCTCAGAATCCTTCTCAATACACTGCTCAGGCCACTGCAATTGCTAAATTCATCAGTGTCAGCACTGATGACGGAACCTGCCCTGGCTCAGGGCTTGGGAGGTCAATCCAGGACAAGGATGGGAGGAGCGGAGTCTGGCTGAAGCCCATGGGCTGACGGCAGATGGGCTTTTAGACCCCTCGCTGTGCCTGCGAATCGGGCCCCACCCTCACCACCTCCCCCTCCGGCAGATGATGAGAAGATCCTGGTGGAGCCCGCCTGTGGGGCAGCCCTGGCTGCCATCTACAGCCACGTGGTTCAGAAGCTGCAAGGGGAGGGGAAGCTCCGCAGTCCCCTGTCCTCCCTCGTGGTCATTGTCTGTGGGGGCAGCAACATCAGCCTGGCCCAGCTGCAGGCCCTCAAGACACAGCTGGGCATGAAGAACAAGCTGCCCAAGTGAGGGTGCTCCCCTGCGCGCCTCCCTCAGTCCCCTGGGAGCCCCCAGAGGTGCTGGAGTTTCACCCAGTGCCACGCTGTACGTACTGTTTGTGTGTCCGGCTGGGAGCCTGCAGCCGGGCCGCTCAGTGCCTCCTTGCACCCATGAGGCCGCTGTGTGGAGGGGCCAACACTCCAAGGTGGAGGCGGGGAGCAGTCACCGGGGCTGCAAACTGAGCCCCTGCCATTGGCGTGACTGCTCTGTGATCGTCCCCAGCCACCCCTGCCAGGGCGACGACCGCCCACACGTAACATATATCAGGTTCATAGAGCGAGCTGGGTGGGAGGGACCAAGATCACAGAACGATGCTGCCCCTCGGAGCGAGGTGTCCCCACCCCAGGCTTTCAACCTGAGAAGATGGACAGGGCCACCGTCCAGGGCTGAGGACCCTTCTTGTCTGAAGCCCACCCTTACTCATTTTTCTAATGTGTAAACATTTTCATTGAAAAAGAGAAATATATATATATTTATGAAGCAAAGATCCCTCAAGTTTTTCCAACATCACTGTCTTCCTGCCTCCCCTCACCCATGGAGCCTGCTCCGACCCCCTCTCAGCAGTGAGCACCCCCAACCTCCACCCCCAAGCCCAGGAACCCTGGGACCCCACGTAGAACTCAAGACCCTGCCCCCACCGAGCTTGTGTGTCAGGAGATAGGAAGTGGGTGAGGGAAGTGGCACTGAATGGGCTCAGGGACAAGGCCTGCCTCCCAGGAAGGCAGACTTTTTCACAGAACCACTGGGAGCCAAGTAGTGAGCCCCCCATCCCTGGGGGTGTGTAAACCGACACTAGACAATCATCCCAGGAACAGGGAAGGAGTGGGTGTGAAGTCAGTGTCAGGCAAACCCTCTAGAAACGTGAAACCCGCTCTTCCAAGGTGTTCCGAAGGCAGCATGTAAACCAGAGGAGCCTCGAGGTCTGGGAAAGGACCCTCTCACCACCACCCACAGCAGCCACCGGGCATCTTATTGGATCCCAAGTTCAAAGTGAAGTTTGAGACCACTTTGACCTCTCAGGGCACCACAAGATGAGCCAGGCTTGCAGACTCCCTTACTCCAACAAAGAGCAGACACTGTGAGATTTTAGGTGGGGGAATGGAACACCACCCCAAGCCACAGGGCCACCAGCTGCCTACTGATTTCCACATGCACTGTAAACTCCCAGGGGACAGGGGACATCAAGGAAAGGCTGGCGGAGACAGCAAATCATCAGCCCCTTGGTTCCACAACTGTTTCCCCGGGAGAGCGAAACTCAAACGGCACCCAGTTCAGGAAAACCTGCTCAGAGCAGGATTGCTTCCAGCCCCGACGGTCCCACCTGGATTGGGCACGAACCCCCCATGAGACAAGGCAGACACCTCTGCCCACTAGCAGAGGGGCCAAGGCACGGGGGGCTGGGGCCGACGGGCAGGCTGGACCCTTGTCCGTCAGGCAGTGCAGAAGCCCCGGGGGCCGGCCGCTGCTCTTCTGCAGCTGAGGGTTGTGGGAAAGTGCTGGGGCACAGGCCCTGACAGCAGCTGCCTTCCCGGCGGCCCCCGCCCTGCCTTGGCTGGGTCAGCCAGGCTGGGCAACCCTCTGCACACACCCGTACTCTTCAGAATCACCCTGGCCACCTGACTGTCCCCACCTCCCAGGAAGCAGAGGGCCCCGAATCATCCTGGGGAACGGACCAGAGCCGCCACTTCTACAGAATGGCCCTGGGGGAGTCCCACCCCGCCCCACCTCGAGGCTCCAGCCTTGCTCTGCTCCCTCCAGACCACCCATCAACACAGACACGTATCTGGCTGCAAACTTCCTAAGAGCAGCGATGTGTCACGGACCTCTGGTCATGAGGTGTCCAGAGGCCTCACCACGGTGCCCAGTCCACACTAAGTGTCCAGTAACACCCACTAGCACACGAAGGCTGAATGTGCGAGGCCCTACGTAGCTGCGTCACGGCCACCACTGCGGTGCATCCTTACTGCGCCGCACTCCCCGGCCAGGGACCTGTCACTCACACTGTCATCCCATTTTACAGGTGAGGTGGCCAAGGCGGAGGGAGGCTGGCCTCCTCTGCCGGTAGGAGACAGCGAGAGGACGCACACCAGGTCTCTGAGCACGGGCTCTGTGCCGTCTCCCCTAGGCGCACGCGTCAGGCGAGCCTTGTCCCCAAGGCAGGTTTTCAGGTATGAATAGACAGGCAGGACTCCGTTTTGCATTGATCTGTACCCCACAGTAGGACTTGGGAAGGTCTTGAGGTGAACAGGGTCCCGGGACAGCACCCAGAACACAGCAGGAGCTCCATAAACATACAGATGGCTGGATGAGTGGATGGACAGGAGGACGGACAGAAGGAAGGGCAGGAAGACGCAGGGAAGACAGTGCAGACCCGTCTTGCGGGGAGAAAAGCGCGCCCCAGCCTTCCCCACTGCCCGGGGAAGAAGCACAGCACAGAGGCCATGGCCGAGGCCTCTCGGCCCCTCCCATTTAATGATGTCACAGCCTGCGACTTAGTGCCTGCAGCAGGGGAGCTGAGGGCCCTCGCTGCCTGGAGGCCAGGCGGAGGCCAGGCAGGGGCGGGGCAGGAGGCTGGGACACGGGGCTGAGGCTCCCGTCTGCCCGGGGAGTGAGCAGGGAAACTCAGGCTCCCTCTAGCCACCAGTTGCTGGAACCTTTGGTTTTTGTTTGTTTTCCAGTTTCTGTCCTTGAGAAAGCTGTCCAGAGTGGCAACAGGGGGCCACTTCCTAAAGGGACAGAGGAGCCTGGGCTGGAGGAGACATCAGCCACAGGTAACACCCAGGGCTCAGGGCTGAAACCCCACCAGCTCCAGAGCCATGGGCAACAGGCCCCTCCAGCTCCCCTGGGGGCCCAGACCCTGATCCCTCAGGGGGGCAGCCTGAGGGTGGGGCCCCAGGGCGGGGGAGAGAGAGAAGCAGAGAGGACAGAGAAACAGAGAGAGAGAGAGAGAGAGCTGCAGAGAAGCAGAGGACGGAGACAGCACTCACCCACTTCAGGGGAGAGGGAGTCCGTTCTGAACCACCCCCGAGGGTCCTGTGCCCCACCCAGACGGGAGTGGACCTGACAGCCCCAGGTCTCAGCTCAGTGCACAGCAGGGGCAAAGGCCACGGAGGGGACCAGCAGGAGGTCAAGGCGGCGTGGCCCCGCTGCGGTCAGCAGGGGCAGAAGGCAGCTGGGTAGAGCCAGCGCTCAGTCCCACCAGATGTCGACGGGCGAGAACTTCCAGAGGTCGGGCTGGCCCATGTGCAGAAGGCCACTGAAGGGGGACGCGCTCCACTGGAACGGGGGCACCTGGTCCCACGTGGGGCCACTGGCTGCCACGAGGCGCAAGGCCTTGGCCAGGGCCCTGCTGGTCACCTAGGGGCAGAGCGGAGCGTCCAACGTCAGCACAGGCTGGGGTCCACGCTGACCCAACCCCGGGGGGCCTGGCGCCCACCCTAATTCCCACCCCAACCACAGCCCAGTTCTGCCCCCACTCCTGCCCTGCCGGCGGCCTGGAGCGCAGCCCTCCCTGTCACACCCTCCCAGCCATGAGATGACCCGCCCACAGCGCCGGCCGGCACAGCCAGCACCTTGACATCAATGCCCCCGTGGGAGCGCTGCTGCAGAGCCCGGAAGGGGTAGGAGCCGTTGGCCGGGTTCAGGTCGGAGCGGGCGGAGATGGCGTTCTCCCCGTTGGGCTGGGGGTCGCAGGCCTTGCACAGAGACAGGGGGTCGTGCAGGAAGTCATTGTACCTGGGTGCGGGAAGGGAGGGTCCATCAGTCGTGCTGGCAGGGGAGGCCAGGGAGGGGCCAAACCCCACCTGGAGCAGCCCCCGATACTGCCACCTGCCTTCAATGAGCCCGAGTCTCCCCCAGCGCTGGGCTCCCTCGTCATTCCGTCACTATCCTGACCCCCGCTCAGGTACCCCACGCTCCGGGATGCCCCTGGGCTCCATCCCCAGTCAGGCTGGAGGCCCCGCCTTGTCCCCTTGGTAGCATTTCTGGGGGCTCAGGCAGCCCTAGTTACACCCAGTGTCCATGTGAGTGCCTGACGCTTCTCCGGGTCTCCACGGGGCCGGGGGACCCCTGGAGACCATGGGGGACATGCTTGGCGCTGTGTGTCCAGTACCAAGCCCAGTGCCCAGCACAGGGTGGTCACTCAGCAGCAGTTCAGTGTCCCCACCTGTCCCAGGACTCATGGTGAATGGGGCCACAGCCCTGCTAGACCAGCCGTTACACACTGTCACCCTGCCGGTCCCTGGGCCAGTTGTGAGGTTTAAATGAGTGACAACGGACACCACGGAGCTCTCATTGTCCCGCACGCACCTCATCAGCTGGATCATGGAGGTCATGTCGTGCACCAGCGACTGGTTCCGCTGGAAGATCTGGGCCCGGGGGCTTCTGTCGTAGGAGAACCAGTCCCCATACTGAGCCACTAGGGCCTGCAGCCCACTGGCGTTGAACACGGTCTCGAAGGACCTGCGGGGATGAGGGCGGTCACTCATGACTCCCACTGACCTCACGGGCCGTGGCAGTCGCACCAGAAGATGAGCACTAACGACCGTCAGGACACCACCAGGACAGCAATAAAAATGTCTTTGGTTTGTGTTGTGGGGTGGCTGAGCTGGGGCTCTGGGGGTCCAAGGGACATGGCTTCAAACCCTGGCTGTATCACTGACCAGCTGTGGGACCTTGGGAAGGTTAGACACCCTCTCAGGGCCTCGGTGTCACCTTCTGTGAAATGGGAACAGGAGCTGTGGCTGGCCGGTTGCCAGGATCAAAGGACACAACCCAGGTAAAGCGCCGTAAGCGGCAGGAGGAGCGGCCCAGTTAAAGCAGATCCAGGCGGGGAGCCACCCACGGCAGGGTCAGCACCTGAGACGGGCCACCCCCATTACCCTGCGGAAGTCACGTGAGTGCCAACCTAAGTCCCACCACTGCACCACAGAACTGCCAGGGCCTTTCTGGCCCAGAAGCGGGTTGGGTGGGAATCCCGTGGGACAGCCCCTCACCAGCACAGGGGGCTGAGCACGGGGTCGGGCAGGGAGGAGCACCTACGGGATGTTGTAGCTGGCCCAGTAGGTCTTCCGGTAGAGCTCCGAGGTCTTGTCGGCCACCACCACCATGCCCCTGGGACCAAGAGAAGCAGGACAGGAGTGGTGAGAAGAGGGGCCCGTGGGGACCCCCTTGGTTCACCACTGCCTGGAGGTAGGTCATGCCCTGAATCTTGAGCCCCAGCCAGGGCTGCCATCTCTTCCTACCTCACTTTCCTTAGATTTCCCCTCACACGCCTCCCGCCTCTGCCTCTGTGGTTCCCTCTGCCTGGAGGGCCCAGCCCCTCCCCCCCCCCCCGGGGACTCACGGGATCTGCTCCAGGATGGTGAGCACCCTGCTCCCAGGACTGGGCCCGCCGGGGACGAATGCTTTGTAGTCCACGATCATCCACTGGTTGTTGTACCTGCCAGACCCGAGCAGGGAGGACTGAGCAGACCCTGGGACTGCAGCCCCGGCCTCCCCCTGCCCCCAGCGCCCCACACAGCCAGGAATCACAGGGCATGGATGGCCTGGGGGTGCCTGGCCATCTGACCGTCACTCTGGAGGCTGCAGCCGGGCCAGGTGTGCTCCAGCTCTTTCAGCACATGGCCTGCTCCAGAGGACTCTATGGCTCCCCAGTGCCTGCCGGAGCAAAGGTCAGTTCTGCCCCATGTCCTGAGACCCTTGCTGTCTGGTTCCGGTGTCTCTGGTGCACAGAGCCCTCCTCCACCCACGTCCAGCTCCTTGGACGGCCCTCCTCACTGTCCCCAGAGCTCTCAAGTTCCAAAGCTCTTCCTGTCCTTCCCCTGGCGGCCTTTCCCTGGGTGGAGAAGCCTGCATGAGAGGGGTGAATGCTTTCCCTCCCTGAGCCTCAGTTTCCCCGTGTATCAAACAGGGGAGGCGGCTCTAATGAGAGTCTGTGACAGCGCTCTGCAGGGGTGCGGGGTAGTGGCTCTGGTGCCACAGTAGGCCCCCCAGGGACTGAGCGTTGGGGGGGGTTGGTCCATTTCTTGGGTGGGGAGGCCACGGTGCCCAAAGCCCACTCACGTGCCACTGTTGAAGCGCTTGAAGACATCCGCCCAGGTGTCCCCGTCCACGGCCAAGCGGTTGGCCACAATGTTGCGCACCCACTCCATCACACAGTCCCCGGGCGTCACGTACTTCCACAGCGCCGGGTTCCGGTTGCCAATGGTGGTCTCCAGTGTCACCTGTGGGGGAGCCGAGGGGACGCTGCTTGAAGGGCCAGCTGACTTATAGCTGGGGCACGCTGCCACCAAGGGGCGGTGCTGTGTCAGCGGTAGTTCACGGATTGACTGACAGCTTTAAAACCTTGTCTTCTGGATCAGGGGTCCGTGCTCTCTGGTTCCCTGGATGAGCACTGGGGGGTTCACGCTCCCAAATCCAGCTCTGCCCTGGGGAAGGGCCCGGGGCGCTGTGCCTATGGACTCACCCCCCAAGTCGGTCCACTCTTTCCCCAGAGACAGCAGCCCCCCCCATCCCTGCAGTTTCCCAGGGAACATTCGGTGACTGGATGCTGCTAGCCCAGCAAACTACTGTGATCTCCACGAACTCACAGCCGCCTCGGGAAAAACACAGTATGGTTATAATGCACCTTCTGGCTGCAAGGTAAACTGAGGACCAGGAGCTAAGAGACTCAGCAAAGGTCATGGCTGGTAAGTGGATGTGCCAAGATTCCATCCCCAAACTTCCAGCTCTTAAATTGGTGCTTGCTCCCCCTACAGCAGGCTATTGGCATGCTTCTCCCTTTTTCGTACAAAGCTGGAAAACAGTGAAATGAAGGCAGTAGCCACAAAGGGCTGTTTGAAAGAGGACCCCTGCAAATCGAGCGGAGCAGCCACGCCCAGGCAGGAAGAGCCTCCTGTCCTCCCTCTGCCCGCTGCACCAAGCTTCCCCAGCCACTGTCCCAGTGAGACCAGCTTGTCCCCAAAGCCCTAGGGGCAGGACAGGGGAGCTCTTCCCCGCCGGGCGAGCGGAGGTACTCAGTGAGTCTGCAGACTTGGATGGAAAACATTACATTTGAACTTTATCAAACGGCAGTTCAGCACCCCCTGCATTGTTAACACGGGTGACACACCACAGGTATCGGCGGCACCTGCGACTGTCCCCAACAGAAACCCAAGTTTCCCACTATGTGACAGGGGTGCACACAGGTCAGAATGTCAGTGATGTTCCTCGTCGCTTCCGAGCGGTGGCAGGTGTGGCAGGTAGCACCTGCCACCCCAGCTTGTGGTTTTACGTGCTGCCAAAGCAGCACCGGTCTGTCAAGCTGACTCAGATAACATTTCGATCAGTGTATTTCGATATCCTTGGCCTCCTTCCGATCCACACATTTTGGTTCACATACTCAGAAACATTCTTTTGAGGGGGTGGCTCACAGGTCCCCAGACAGCCAGAGGGGTCTGTGGCACAAAACCAGGCAAGAACCCGGGTGGCAGGTAAATGTCCCACCTGGACACTTTCCAGGTAACTGGAGTCAACATTTGGGTTGTTCTTCCCCACTCTCCCCACCCAGGATGGTGGCCAGGGGGTCCCCCACACCCACTGCCAGGCCTTCTCATGCCTTTCAACATAAGGTACTAAACCCCACGCTCCCCCAAAAAACTAACAAAAGAACTCCCCGCCCCCACCAGGAATCTGCTCTGCTTGAGGGTTCTTTAAATTCATGTTCTTCCTCCTCCAGTGTTGCCCTGGAGACCGCGGGGCTTGCTGCGGGGGCAAGGGGTGCCAGGGGCAGATTTCTAAACGAGTTTGGACCCTGGCCAGGAAAACTGATAAAAACAACACATTGTAAACACCATTTATTCAGAAAACCTGGCCAGGTTAGAGGGGGTTATGTGGAGGGCAAGAGAGAAGGCAGTATTTCACAGCGAGGCCATTGCGGGGAGGGACGGCTTCTCCTAAATACTTAAGAACAAACCGAGGTCACTGAGGTCAAGGATATTTCATAAGGTCCCCAAGGCAGGCAGTTGCTGAGGAGCTGAGTTACAATGCAGAGTCCCAGGCTGGCCACAGGTCCTGGAGGCCCAGGTGGGGCCTGGGAACCCTCGTTCAAGAAGCCCCACCCTATGTGTGGTCTTGGATGGGCACCAGCCTTATCAGGTGATCCCTTTATAAGGTCAATAAATGTTTAACCACTATGGTGTACACCTGAAACTAATATAATAATGTATGTCAACTGTAACTAATTAAAAAAAATAAGCCCCACCCAGTGGCCCAAGCATCACGAGAAAACATGCCTCGGCCCACGGGCCCGCCGGGGCTGCCAGGTGAGGAGCGGCCTGGGGAGAACGGCAACCAACACGAGAGGGGGACTCACCAGCCCGCTGCCCAGGATGTAGAAGTCGTCACAGGAGAAGATGGTGCCGGGGTAGGAGGAGAACACCAACTCATTGCCAGCAGCCAGGGGAGAGTCCTCTGTAGGGGGACAGCGTGCGGGGGGTGGGGTGCTGCTCAGACGAGCCCGCCTGGACGGGAGCCCCACACCTTGCTCTCTGCTGTTTAGCGAACCAGGCATTTGATGTGTGTGAAGTTTGATAGTTTATATAAAACAAACTATATATGTATATGGTTTGTTTACTAGTACTGTTACTGGCTTTGCCTGCTTTTTTTTTTTTAATTACAAAGACCTATTGTAAAAAACAATTCAGAGGGCGGTACCCAGAAATTTGAGAGCATGAGCTTTGTTTAGGGAGGAATCCTTTGCCCCAGCTTTATGGAGACATAATTGATAAAAATCATCACTGCTTAAGATATTCAATGTGATGATTCGATACATTGTGAAAAGGTGACTATAATCCAGCTACTTAACACATCCATCACCTCCCAGAGCTCCCCCTCGGGGCGCAGGGCGGGGACAGTTAAGATCTGCTCTCCTGGGGGATTTCAAGTACAGGACAGTTCTGTGGACTCAGTCACCACACTGCACCTCAGGCCCCCAGGACTCATTCATCTTCTCGCTGGAAGCCGGTGCTCCCTGGCCAGCATCTCCCTTTTCCCAGCCCCTGGCGACCACCGTACTACTCCCTGCTCCTGCGACCTCGGCTTGTTCACATCCTACAGGTAAGTGGCATCTGCGGTATTTGTCTGTTTGCATCTGGCTTATTTCATTGATCTCGTGCCCTGGAGGTCCAGCTGTGTGGTGGCAAATGGAAGGATTTCCTTCTTTTTTTTAAGGCTACATAACATGCAAGTGTGTAAGTGTGTGTGTGTGTGTGTGTGTGTGTGTGTGTGTGTGTGTGAATGAATGAGTGTGTGAATTCCTTTATCCGTCCACCCGCCCATGGATACGTAGGTTGTTCCCGTATCTGAGCTATTGTGAATGAGGCTGCAATGAACAGGGGAGAGCAGGTGTCGATCTGAGGTCCTGATCTCATTCCTTTCGAATAAACACCCTGAAGTGGGATTGCTGGGTCACAGAAGAGCGTGGGCTTTGGAGGGAGGAGACCTGGGTAGAATCCCAGCTCAGTCTCAATTTATTAATTCTTTGGCCCACAGCAAGCTCCTAAACCTTTCTGAGCCTCAGTCCCCTTATCTGGGACAGAGGGAACTTTCTTGGGTGAGAGAAATGTTCTCTGTCATTACTGAATGGCCGTGACAAGACTGTACATGTTTGTCCAAACCCATCAAATTATCCACTCTACAATGTGTATGTAAGCTATCCATCAATAAAATTAACCCCCCCAAAAAATCAAACTTAGTCTGAAATGTCATTTATCACCCACTAAAATGGCAAAAACTTCAAGTGAACCATAACACCCAGTGCTGGCAAACTTGCGGTGAAAATCGACACCCTCAGAGACTAGCCGGGGAAGCTCAAACTGGCCCATCCGACCCTGGAGGCAATTTGGCTGTATTTCTCCAGAGACCGTAACTTTAATTGTGCCCATCTTTTCACCCAGCCCTTCCACGAGGAAACATCTCTGGGGGCGGGGGCGGGGTGGGGAGCACTCATGTTCGCTGCAGCATTGTTCCAAATAGCAAATCCCTGGAAACGACCCCAAACCTCAACTGGGGGTGCGTTAAGCTGAACATGTAGCTGTTAAAATGTGGACCGAAGGGTATCATGGGAGATGCGTCTCCTCACCTGTGAGACTGGAAGGTAGTCACATATTACCGTGCAATACAAATGAAAGCGAATGGAAAATTGAGGTACTTTCTAAAAAGAAGTCTAGAGAAAACATACGCAAGTGTTCAGAGAACTGATCTCTCGCGGGGTGTCGGGTGTTTGAGTGATTCTCACTGCGTGCAAGTGTTTTGCTGTAGCTTCCAATTTCCTGTCACAGGCGTGTAAGACTTACGTGGGTTTTTTGCAAAGATACCAAAATGTTCACGGGAATGCAGCAATGCGGGTGAGAGACCTGCAGCTGCAGCCACAGGCATGGCCGTGGGCTGTCGCAGATGCCCCGCTGAGCGGACACAGACGTGCACAGTCTGGGTGCTCCGAGCACAACCGGGCAAACCTACTCTGTGTGGTAAGAAGTCGGGACAGGCAGGATGCTGGACCGGCAACAGTACCTGGCACGGGACGGGGGGAGAAGCTTCTGGAGACTGGGAATGCTCTGCTCCTCACACCAGGCGCCACGCACAGGCCTGTGCTCACCGTGCACAAATTCCAGCTACACCCTTAGGATGTGCGCGCCTTCCGGTATAAATGTCAGTCGGGAGGTTTACTTAAGATTTAAATGAAGGGGCATCAGGTTGTCTTCAAACCACCACTGCAGGTGACATCCTTGTCCACGCTCCCTGTGCAGAATTGCTACGTTTCTGTACAGACAGATCTGAGCTACAGAACCGCTGGTCATGGGAGTGACAGCTTGCAAATTGTGTCGGATGCTGGCTGGGTTCCTCTTCAAAGTGGCCATGCCAAGCCCTAGTCACATTAGCACTGACTGAGGGTGTACATTTCCCCACCTTCTCGCCACCTCCTGGCAATGGTAAGTTTTTAAGTTTGGCCAAGAGGGAGGCACTGTGAACATCTGGCAGGGGCCACCCCTGGCGTTCAGTCTAGGGTAGGGCAGGGGAGGCACCGTGGGGTGGTGGGCCTCAGCTGCCAGGTTTTTGCCTCCGACAGAAAGAGGGCCTTCGTGCCTTCCTCCCGTGGTTTGCAAAATTGGCTCCAATTCTTCCTGTGCTTGCATCCACACCATCGAGATGTGACTCTGCAGTTCCTTACATCAGAGAGCGGGGTCTAGGCCCCCACTTCTCAAATCTGAGTGGTCACCTGACTTGCTTCGGGCATCAGGACACTATCAGGACCAGTCGTTTAGCTCTAGCCCTCGGGAGGCCTTACGTACTTCCCTGCCCGGAGGTCACGGCACAAGCCTGAGCTGGCCTGCTGAGCTTAGCCACAAAGGTCAGCTACCCCATCATGCCAGCTGACAGCCAACCCCCAGGCCGAGGAGTAAGGCCATGCTGGGTCAGTCAGCTGGCCCCAGCTGAGCCCAAAAGCATCAGTGGGCCAGGTAAGATCAGCCAGGTCAGGCCTAGGACAACTCGGCCACCCAGCTGACCCGCAGACATGTGACAAAAGCAAATGGCTGTTTTAAGCTGTGGTTGTTTTAAATGGGGGGGGGCATTTGTTATGCAGCACTAGCTAACAGATATACCTTGTGAAATAAAAACCTAGAGAAACTTAACATACTGAAAACAAGATAAGCCCTGGCTGGTGTGGCTCAGTGGATTGAGCCTCAGCCTACAAACTGAAAGGTCACTGGGTCTATTCCTGGTCAGGGTTGCAGGCCCTGGTCGTCTGCTGGGGACATGTCAGAGGCAATGAGTTGGTGTTTCTCTCCCTCTTTCTCCCTCCCCTCTCTCTAAAAGCAGATAAATCAAATCTTTAAAAAACAGTAAGATGAGCCCTTAGAATGCTCCTACAGTGACCGTGGTGGGTCCTAGCAGCCCCCCCCCACCCCATGTGCCCACATCCACCCACCTCGGGGGCCTTCCCGGAACTGGAACCGGTACTTCTTGATGATGCGCAGCATGTTCTGGTAGGAGTTCCAGGTGTTGTGGGCGACCAGGAGGTCGCTGTGTCCGGGCAGCAGCTTGATGAGGGCAGAGCAGGAGCCAGAGCCCAAAGTGTGCCTGGTCTTGGTCTTATTCAGGGCCAGCTCCAGATCTTCCAGGTCCCCAGAGAGCTGCAACAGGCTGCAGAGGCCGGGGCACCACAGGGTCACCACACCTGCTCCCAGGGCTGTAGTGGACCTACTGCGCAGAGGGGGACGCTCAGCTTCCAGTGGGGCTAGGCGGTGGGTCTGAGGCCACGTAGCCGGGAAGTGGCAGGGCCAGTCCTGGAGCTCGGGTCTGTCTGACTACAAAGTATGCGGCCCTCTCCCCTACCCTGTCCATTCTGGGGGGGCGCACTTACAGGAACCCCAAGGGTTTGATGGTGAACTTCCCAGTTGGAAAGGTCACACTGCCTTCATAGCTGTCCTCTAGGCCTTTCAGCTGCAGGAGGGTCAGCCGCACCTGGGGAGGGGGCAGAGGACAAGGGGCAGAGGGAGGGTGAGGCCTTCCTGCAGGGGGAAGGGCCTGGCCTGAGGGTCCAGACAGAGCCGGCCTAGGTCACCCTCCAGGCTCCCGCCAGCCCTGACGCCCCCTTACCACCACCTACTCGTCCACGTCAAGCAGCTTCCTGCCTTCAGTTAATTAACGGTATGCCCCTGCCCTGTGCCAACTCCCAAACCACACCCACTTAAGAGTCTAGCCCAAAGCCACCTCCTCCAGGAAGCCTCCCAGGACGTTCTGAGTTTAGCTACTGGCTGCACTGCTGTGTCAGAGCACCTGTCTCATGTGGCTGGCTCCTCCCCATCGTGACTGTCATAGTTCTGTAACCATGGAGTATCATCCCTGTGTCCCCGCGGGGCCTCGGCCTGTGCGGGTGTCCACCAGGCCCTTAGAAAGCATCTGCAAGAGGGATGGTGTGTGGCTGAATGGACAGATGGGTGTGTGGGTGGACAGATGGGTGGACAGTGAGAAATTCTGCTTAGCGACAGGTGCACCTCACCTGGCCCAGGTGAGGTGGAGGTGCTCACAGTCTCAGACAGCCACTTTCTAGAGGCTGCCGGTGGTGCACCCTTCACCGTTAAACTCTTGCGGTGTTCCACGGAACCCACACATAAATGACTTTGCTGACGGCCCGGCCAGTGGCCCAGAGGCAGAGCCTCCTCCCTGCGTCCCCCGGCTACTCGGCAGCTCCCCCAAGCAAAGGAAAACAAAACTTCCGGTGTTCTAGCTCTCCCCTTTCCCTTTCTTCTTTTAGGAAGACTGTTTTCTGATGTGATCCATCGGCCAAGCCACCTCCCTCATGTGCAAGCAAAACAATGTGTTGACAATGAACTATAGCGATTCTTTGACTGTATGGGGCAGAATGGGCTGGAGAGACAGGCAGGTCAGGATGGGCGGCCGGAGTTCCACCAGGCGGGTGGATGGATGGATGGATGGATGGATGGATGGAAGGAAGGAAGGAAGGACAGGTGGAGACTGAACAGACCGATGAATGGCAGGTCAGCCGCAAGGGATGGGGACAGTGATGGACCCATCAAAGGGCCGGCCACAAGGGGCAGGGGTCAGAGGAGTCACCGGCTGGAAGAGCAGCAGCCCCGGTGGTGGCAGGTCCCCAGAGTGGACCCCACCCTCTGCCCCACCCCACCGAGCACGGTGGCCACGCCCACCTGGTGCCAGTAGGCAGAGTCCTTGTTCAGCTCCATCTCCCTCTGCATCCACTCCAGGTTGGCCTCCAGGAAGCTCTTGAGCTTCTCGCAGTAGCCGACTTCGTACTCGAAGGGGCCGCAGTAGTTCACCACCGTGTTCATCCAGTGCATGTAGATGAGCTGTGGGGCGGGCGGGGCGAGGGCAGGGCAGCCAGGCTTTGTAACCGAAATCTGCCCTAGATTACACTTCCTCTGTCACTGGGGCCCCCGATCTATCTAAGTATCCACTAAGTCAACGAGGCACAGGCCTGGCCCGAGGTCTGGCCACCTCCGCAGCCATCAAGGTGCCCAAAACTGCCACCAGGGGTCAGAACGAGAAGTGCAGCTTTTATGAGAAGCTGTCACTGCATGCTGTCCCCTGTGACGCGCTCCTTCCCTCTCGCCATCATGCATCTCAGGTTCACCCACGGTGCTCTTTCCTTTTCACCCTCTGGACCACCGCACCGTGCGACTGCACTGTCTCTGGTGACCCGTCCACCACTGGTGGCACCTGGCTGCTCCCACCTCAGGGCGACTTTGAACACCTCTTGCACACCCTCGGGTCACCACTAGGGACTGGGACATGTGCATGACTGACTCTACAAGTTGTTGCCAAGTTATTTTCCAGAGTAGGTGCCACCCAGTGTGGGCGCCGGACGGTCCCACCACAGCCCCGACTTCTGAGATGTGTGACAGCCACTCTCATGAAGTTCCAACTCAGGTACAGCAAAATGATACGTTGTCTAAGGATTCATTGCACGTTGTGGAACTCACTTAACTGGAGGCAGGGAGTGGAAAGGACTCAAACGTCCATCCACCAGTGAATGAATGAATGAATGAATGAATGAATGAATAAAACAGCACGCCTTTGCCCTGGACCACTGTTTGGCCATAAAAAGGAATGGGGTGCCGACACCTATTACAACACGGATGAGCCCTGTACACCTGACACTCAGTGAATGAAGCCAGCCACAGAGGACCAGATATTGTAGGATTCCATCCCTTTAAGGTGACAAGAATGTTCTGGAACTAAATGGTGGTGACGGCTGCACAACTTTATAAAGACATTGTAAAAGCCACTGACCTGGACACTTTAAAATAGTGAGTTTACCAGCACATGAGTTGTATCTCAACATCAGTGACCGACTGAATGAGAACGAAGCCCCCACCTTTAGGGGCGGGGGCGCCTCTGGGGGAAAGGGAAGCAGGGCGGTGGGCTTGGGAGGGGGCTTCAATAATATCAGTAACATTCTAGGTTTCTACTTGGGTGCTCACTTTAATATTGTGCTTTGTAACCTGGAATAGGTGATTTTTTTATATGCATTAAATAGTGCCTCGTGTGAGGAGAGCCCGTGAGCCTTTCGCCCCACACAGATGAAGGGCAGGGGCTGGGAGTGGGCGGCCCACTCTGCACGCAGCTCAGCACTCTCCAGAGCCTCCTGGGGAGCACGTTTGGTGGGGTAGGGGGACGGGAGCCCCGGTGTCCCCGTCTGATCCGTACCTCCTCGGACACAGCAGCCTCCACCACCCCCGCCGCGTAGGCCTGCAGGCTGTCATTGTGGTGGCCATCCGTGTGCAGCTCCAGGAAGGCCCACCTGGAGAGGGAGGAGGGGGGACATTGGGTCAGCACGGGAACAGGTGCAAAGCCGGCGCTCAGCTCGGCACCCGGCCGTTTCCGGGGTCAAACCATCATAAACCACAGTGACGAACTGCCTTCCACATGATGTCTGTCCGTCTGCCTTTGTGTGCACGTGTCAGGCCGAATCCCTCGAAGAGGAAATGCTGGGTCAGTGGCATTTCTCACTTTCATGGCTACTGACAAGCACCCTCCCACTAAAAGCTGTGCTAACCTTCCCCCACCCGACAGTAATGCCAGCTGACAGCTCTTGAGGTCTTCCACTGTGCCAGGCACTGTGCTAGCCACTTGCGCACCTGTTAACACTCGCATCCTCACGACAACCCTACAGAGTCACACAGTCAGGTGCCCGTCGTACAGAATGGGAGGAAATTAAAGCGCGGAGCCACGTAACTGCTGTGGCGGAAGGCGCTGCCGCCCCCTCTGCCCATATCCATGCTCTTTGCTGGGTCACTTTGTGGTCAGTCCTTACCACAAATGACCAAGCGTCCTTCTGCACCCCCTTACTCTGGGCTCAGTCACGCCACGTGACTTTGGCCATCTGGAGTCAGGGTTGTGGGTCGAAGCGACTGTGCTAGTTATAACATCGGCCTCCTGGAGGAGACCTGTGCTTCCACCAGACCTCTTGTGCCTCTGCTATCGCCATACAAAGAACACGCCCGGCCAGCACGGGGGACCCAGGAAGATGAGACACATGAAGCCTGCAGGTCTGCAGACCTACAGCACAAAGCAGAGTTGCCCCCACTGCCCCCTGGACCTGTGAGGGTAAACGGTTGCCATTTTTAGCCACCGGGTTTGGGCAGCGGTTTGTTACACAGCATGGTTGCCCAGTACGAGCTGATACACTTGCCCAAGGTCAGGGAGCTAGCAAAGGGCAGAGCCAGGATGCAGTTCTAGGCAAGCCAGTCCCCACTCCTCCTGTGAAGTCACACGTCTACACTCTCATGTGCATGCAGGTCACTGGAAGTCCTTGTGAGGAAGCCAATTCTGATCAGGACATCTGGGGTAAAGCCCAGAATTCTGCATTTCTACCTGCCAGTCGCAGAACCCCACCAGGGTACATACTGCCTTCCTATAACATATGAACGCCTGTCTGCCCACTTCCTTGCTTAGAATGATTCCTGTCAACCATTTCCATCTTTGCTAAGGTGATAGTCAAAAAAACTCAATCATGTTGTTTTAATTATAGTCCCATAACTAGTTGTTACATACATTTTCTTATTTGTATTGGTCATTTATAGTTCTTTGGTTTGGTCCTCCATCCATTGCAGGTGAAGAGAAGAGGCAGATGCCTGACCCCCACCCTTCACAAACTGACTCAGTCACCCCAGGCCAGCGGCTCTGCTGCCTGGGGCCCAGCCTACCCAGAATCTCCCTTTCACCTCACTGCTGAGTTCTCAAGAGGGTGCCTGGAGGGCCTCAGTGTCCCCGATATAAAATGGGGCTTCCGATGGTTTTCCCTACATCACAGCCCCACGTGCTGGCAGGCTCCTCAGGAAAGGGGCCTGTGGGTCTGAGAGCAGGCAGCGAGAGACGGGACAGAAAAGATGCTGGAGTGGCGAAGTGAGAGCGAGAAGGGCAGAAGAGGCCCGGGCTCACATCTAGGCCTCAGTTTCCCCATCTGTAAATGGGGCAGAGGAGACCTGCTCCTGTCTCTTTCACTCTTTCCTTCGGTAAATAAACGGAGCTGCTTTCTGTGATCCCATTGACTTTCCTAGGAAGCCACACCTTTGGGTGAAGAAACTAGCTCAGAGAGGCGCAGTGACCTGCCCGTGGTCACAGAGCAGTGGAGCTGGGCCTGCAAGAGCCCCCCCCCCCCATGGGCACAACCAAGGAAGCCCTCGCAGCCCAGTGGGGGCCTCCTGGAGCCAAAGTCCCCTCCCCGGCTGGGCCTCCCCTCTGTGTTTCCTCCTCTAGCAGGCACCCAGGCAGAGCTATGTCATGCCCTCTTGGCTTGGCTAAGCAGGCCCAAAGATGTGTGTGAGTCAGCAGAGAACAGGTCACCAGATACCAGTGTCACGGAGTCACAGAGCTCTGGTTCCCTCCATTGGTGCCAGCCAACCCTGTGGCCTCCTCTCCCTGGGAGCCTCCCCAAATTAGCTCCGCCCAGCTCCTGTGTCTGCAGCAAGCCCATCCCCCCCAATTTCCCTTCTATCTGATATCCACCCAAGTACCACAAAGCACAAGAATGAGGATGACCCGGGTCTCCCCAACACCTGCAGGAATTAATGCATGTCAGCAAACAGGAGGTGGGGGCAGTGGCCATGCCTACAGGAGAGGGCCACATAGTTTAAGCACGGGGATAAGCCCAGGATGGGATGGGACGCCGAGTTCCCGAAGACCCCCAGCAAAGCCTGGATCCAAAGCCTGGGCCCCGCTGACAAGGTTAGAGGCAGACTTCCACCCTCCCACTGACTCAGGTTCCCCCCTATCAAACTGTCTCCCCCACTGAATGGGGAACCCCCACCTGCTCAGTCCTGTGTCCCCAAGGCCAAGCAAACCAGGCGAGTGAATGAATGAATGAATGATTGGGCTCTGGCCCTGGTACAAGGCCTGAGAGGGGCACCACCCAACCTCCCAGCCAGAGCACATCCTCAAAATCTGGGCCACAGAAAGGGAAATGAGAGTCCAGACAGGCGGAGGAGTTAGATGAGAATCATGCAACTGAATGAGAGTCCCAGCAAGAAGGATGGTGACCATGACTGCCAAGGACGGAGCCCTGGGCTCCATACCAGGAGAGAAGGAAGGGAGGAGTGAGCCCAGGCAGTGACTTTCTCTATGAAGAGAAAGGGTCTCTATGAAGTGAAGAACCCTCTGTTTTCTGACTGGCCTGTAACTCAGGCTCAAATCTGCTGCCCTGATTCTGGGACAGAAGCAAGGGACTGGTACCCATGGGGCAAAATACAACCAAGAAAGTTTTTCTGAAGAGTTCACTGCCCCACAGGCCCAGGGGGTGGGGAAGTGAGGCATGGGGCAAGGGGACTGACCTCCCCGGGAAACAGAAGTTACTGCATCACCCACCAGCCCCGGCCCCGGCCCCGGCCCCGAGGGGGTGGGGGGTGGGGGGTACCACGGCTCTGATGACAAGGAACTGGTTTCCAGGGAGACAGCGGTACTGTCACACCAGGCTAAAGGGAACTGGTTCCCATGAGTTGAGGGATGCTGCCTCGGCTCCCACCCTACCAAAGCCCCGGTCCAGATGGCGGTACTGCATCCTGAGAAGCGGGAAACTGACCCCCAGGGGGACAAGGGCACTGTCACGGGCAAGAAGCTTGTCCAAGGGGCAGGTGAGGCCGGGCGCCCACGCCACCCCAACTGGTGCTGCTCGGAATCGAGTCAAGCCTTACCCGGTATCGCGAATGGCGTTGGTGAGATTGGCCCAGGCCACGGCGTCCGGGTGGCGGCCATCCACCAGACGCAGCTGGCCGGTCCCGGAGTCCAAGAGCACCGAGCGGCAGCGGGAGGCGGGTGGGTCCGGACCGCCAGGCCCCCAGGAGGCCTTCGGGGTAGGGATTGCGCCTGTCAAGCCGCTCAGGTACAGTCCGACCAGCAGGGCCAGCGCCCGCGTCAGAGCCAGGGCCGGGCAGGCGCCGGGGGTGACGCACCTCGAGGCCACCATCACTGCGTGGTGCCGGGCACCGCAACCCGGCTGACGTGACAACACTCCGCCGCGCTGGGCGGAGAGAGAGCGGGCTGCGGGAGGAGGCGGGGCTTTAGCCGAGCTCTTCCGGGTGGGCGGGGCCCGGAGTGGGACGTAAGCGGCGGGGCCCATCTTAAAGAGCCCGGCACCGACTCCCCTTCGAAAACCCTGCCTAGCACACTTCCCCCAACTAATTTTTCAAAACTTCAAACACAGAGCAAAGTAGCAAGACGGAAAATAAATACCCATACGTTTGCCATCAATTGCTAATATTTTGTTACAGTTAATCAATTTCTTTATATATCGATATCTATATCTATATCTATATCTATCTATCTATCTATATTGCTCAACCATTTGAGAGTTCATTGAAGGCATCGTGACCTATCAACCCTAAATCCAGCACATAGATATTCAGTATCTCATAAGAAAGAAGACGTCACCCTACTTAACCACAATATACCATTGTAACAGGAAATTTACCATTCACTTAATACTAGTACAGGGTTTTATTCGAAGTTTTCCAATTGTCTCAAAAACGTTCTCTATTTCTTTTAATTTCTTTTGGTCCAGGATCCACTCCTCACACAATACGCAAGAATAAACTTCTAAATGATGAGACTCTAAATGTAAAAGTCAAACTGCAGTACTAGAAGAAAAATATTCTTTTTCTTTAAATTCTCTATTTCCAAAACACCATAAGCAAAATCAAAAGACAACTGACAAACGGGGAGAAATTATTTACAACATATATAGAAAGGGCTAGTATTACTAGTCTATGAAGAGCTCTTTAAATCTGAGGCAGGGGATTGCAAACTAAATAGAAAAATGGGCAAAAAATATAAACAAACAACTCGTGAGAAAAATGTAAAAATGACTCAAACTTATGGAAAATGATTGTTTCATTCACTGTAAGAGAAATGCAAATTATAGCTCACTGAGGGTAAAAGTTTATAATAAAAATATACACTGAAAACAAATGAGTTCATGTAATAAAATTGGTGAGATCTGAATAAGGTCTGTAATTTCGTTAAAAGTTATAACTAACTATGTACGGTGCCAGGTGGTTACTAAAAATACCATGGGAACACTATGTAAAGTATATGATTATCCAACCACTAAGCTGTGCACCCAAAACCAATACAAATAGTATTTGAAGTAAACTGTAATTTAAAAACAAAAATAAAACATTTATATTATATTTGATTCTTTCACCCGTTAAATTTTATTTGGGATACAGTAAAAATTAAAAAATAACGCCCTGGCTGGCATAGCTCAGTGGATTGAACGGCGGCCCACGAACCACACGATCGCGGTTGGATTCTCAGTCAGAGCATATCCCTGGGGTTGCAGGCCAGTTCCTGGCAGGGGACTCACAAGAGGCAATCACACATTGATGTTTCTCTCCTTCTCTCCTTCCCTTCCCCCCTAAAGATAAATAAATAATAAAAATCTTTTTTAAATTTTCAAAAAAAACCTTTAAAAAATTTTTAAAAATAATCATTTAAAGCCCTGGTTGGTGTGGTTCAGTGGGTTGAGCACTGGCCTGCAAAGCAAAACGTAGCCCCTTCGATTCCCAGACAGGACACAGGCCTGGGTTGCGGGCCAGGTCTGCAGTTGGAGGTGTGTGAGAGGCAACCAAGCATCGTTTATCTTGTACACCGATGCTTCTCTCCCTCTCTTCCCTCTCTCTAGAAAACAAATAAAATCCTTAATAATAATGTCTTTAATGTTAAGTATTGTATTGATGTCGATTTCCTGGGTTTTGATCATTGTACTCTGGTTATATAAGATATTATAACTGGGAGAAACTGGGAAAAGGCTACATAGAAATTGTATTACTTAAAAAAAAAAGTGTTGAAGGAAACCACATGAAATATCCCTTCTCACTTCTCACATCAGGAAAAAATTACAAGCTTGCCGATATGCTCACCAGGTGGGCCGGGGAAGTGGTACCCATGCGTCACGGGTCGGTGTGCAGATTGGAGAGAAATGGGTAATGTCTAAGAAAACTGCATGATTTTATTTTCTTTTTTAAGAGATTTTATTTATTTTTAGAGAGAGGGGAGGGAGAAAGACAGGGAGAGAAACATCGATCCTCTTGCAAGCCCCCAACCTGGAGCCTGGCCCGCAACCCAGGCACGTCCCCTGACTGGGAATCAAACCTGCTTCCTACCCACACTAGTCAGGGCTGATTTTACTTTCTGACTGCAATCCACTTCTAAATATTTATACATAAAATTGCCCATTGCAGCATGGTTAGTAATTTTAAAATATTGGAAATGCTCTAAAGGCCATAGAGAGGTAATTCATTACATAACTGTGGAACCTCCACACAAAGAAACACTGTACAGCTGTGAAAACTGAATTAGCCCTGGCTGGTGTAGATCAGTGGATTGAGCGCAGGCTGTGAACCAGAGGGTCTCCAGTTCAATTCCCAGTCAGGGCACATGGGCCAGGTCCTCAGTAGGGGGCACTCGAGAGGCAACCACACACTGATGTTTCTCTCCCTCTCTTTCACCTTCCCTTCCCTCTCACTAAAAATAAATTAATAAAAACTTTAAGAAAAACACTCCTGAAAAAAAACTGAATTAAAGTGACTAAAAAACAGCATTAATTGGAAAAAGCAAACCCCGCTAAAATTACATATAGATGCTATCTTTTGTGTCAGAAAGAAAGGAAAATGAAATTTACTGAAATCTTCTAACTTCTGCAAAAGAAACGCAGGAAAGAAAAACCAGAAACTAGTAAAATTAGTTCCCCAGGAAACAGGTAAGAACAACAGAGTGGTGGAAAGCCAGAAAATGACATATCTCTGAGCAGTACATCTTTCTGTAGAGTTTAGACTTTCGCAGATATGTTAATATTTTGCATTGCTAAAAAAACCCCTCAAATCCTGTGAACCAAAGGATCGAGTTTCAATTCCCAGTCAGGGCATGTGCCTGGGTTGCAGGCCAGTTCCCAGGAGGGGACACACGAGAGGCAACCATACATTGATATTTCTCTCCCTCTCTCCTTCCCTTCCCCTCTAAAGATAAAGAAATACAATCTTAAAAAAAACACACACAAAAACCCTCACATCAACAGGATGGGGAAGATCCATCAAAACACGTACAAACAGAAATAAACAAACCCGACTTGTTTTAAATGAATAATATAACCCACACTGAATGAGTCTTCCACTCTAGGTCATCAGATTGTTCTTTCCCAATACTGTGGGAGTAGAGATTCTGAAATGATCCTCTGCGTATTGGTTGTAGGCGTTGAGCAAATCAATAAATGGAATGTTGACCTGGGGTTCAGGTTTATCCCTGTGGGATAAAAGCCTCAGAAGACGGCTGGGTATTGGGCTGGAAATGCAGGTGTCCGTATGAACTCATGGTTTTTCACATCAGTAGGTGGGAATCTGGGAGCATATCGACATGCATGTTATGCTCCAGCTCTGTCCACTGGAGAGGGCCCGGGAACAGGGACCCCTCGGTGACAATGAGCACAGATCCTGATTTCCACGAAGAGGAGCCCGAGCTCCTGAAGGGAATGGCTGACTCCGGTTGGGCCACACAAGACAAGCCTGGCACCGCTCACTGTGCCCCAAAGCTGGGAGATACACCAGGAAGGATGGAGACGTGTCAAAAGGGCCAGGAGCTGCCTTGAAGAGGCCCCCACTAGGACCAGGTAAGCACAAAAACAGTAACAGTAATGCACTTAGAAACGCTGAATGAAATAAAAAACCCAGGAGCTATACTGAGAATACTGGCTCCTTGATCTTGGCCTTCCAGCCCCCAGAGTTGTTTAAGGGCCCCGGGTCTGTTATATTTTGATACAGCAGCCCAAGCTGGCTAATAAGTAACCCATGACTATGTTACTGGGTGGTTCTTTATTTAGCATTTTCAGGAATTGCTAAACCGTCTGTCAAGACAGCTGCCCCACTTCACATCCTCACCGCTGAACGAGGGTTCCATTTCCTCCACATCCTCTCCAACACTTATGATATTTTAAGTCATGGCCATCTTCCTGGGTGTGGAGAAGAATCTCCTGGGAGAAATGACCATTCAAATCCTTTGCCTGTTTTTTTAATGGATTATTTGCCTACCTGTTATTGAGTTGCAGGAAAAACAGGGTGACTCAAGAGTTAAAGATTTTAGCTTCAGTCATAGTTCAGAGGTTAAGTGATTAATGCTGCAGAACCCACCTGACTCCGGGAGGGAACAAGCAACTCAGCCTTGGCCCCCAGGGAGCCTGCAAGCCTGGATGGAGATGGTGTCTCAGCCATTGTGCCCCAGGGGAGGACGTTCCTGAAGCAGATAAAGAATTGTTGATCAGCAGACAGAGAAATACTAGGAAAATCACCAGCTGGACTGCAACTCTTATCTGATTAACCTTTTCCCAAACCCCTCACCTACCCTTTTCTTCTCGGCACACGAAGGTCAGCTTGAGATGAGGTGCTAATATGGATTTTGAGGGTCTGTAACCGGCCATGTTCTCAGGTCACCGGTATCTGAATAAAGCACCTGTAATGATTCAGTCCTTGTCTCTACTTATTGGTTCTGGCAGTGACAGGCAGTATGAACATTGATTGACTTTCCCAGTTTCAGGAGGTTTTTTTTTGGATTTTTTTAAACATATGCTAGATATGAGCCCCTTGTGAGATCAACAATGGGCAAAATATTTCTCCATGGGGGAGTTTGCAGCTGCGCAGGATGTTACATGACTTAGTATTGTGGCCAGGTCCCTCTGGCAGCTGCAGTAATGACGAGGGCAGAGACAAGTGGGTGGTGAGGAGTGTCTGGCAGCCACCTGGGCACTGAGACCAGGCTGGCCGTGGAGGAGGAGAAAAGCAGTCAGTCTACGGGCATCCAGTGTTCAGCGTTCTCCGGGAAGAACTTGCTCAGAGCGGCTGCAGGGGGCAGAGACGAAGACTCCAGAGGGACTCCAGTGTTCCTGGCCTGAGCGCCTAAAGGAAGGGGTGGCCGTGGAGGTGGGGACAGTTGTGCGGGGGGAGCGGGATGGGTATAAGGGAGGTCCCTGTGGAGTTTTTGTAAATGTGTCTGCGTGTCCTCAGGA